GAGTTCTTCAGTAGTCTGACAATCCATCAATATACATTTATTAAGCGCCTACTATGTATCAGGTACAGTGCTAAGCACTAAGGTTACAAAAAGAGGCAGGAGAGAATCCTTGCCCTCAAGAAGCAGACAATCTGGACCCTAGGTTTGAAAATAGAGAGGCCATATCCCTTTCTTTATGCTTTCCTGAAGGCGTACTCATTCAATCACGGAATTCCTAGAATGTTCAAACTGGAAGGGGCCTTAGAGCCCATCTCCATACAATCCTCTCATTTTACATACGATAAAAACTGATAGCTTGAGAGATAAAAGAGAGAGAGAGAGAGAGAGAGAGAGAGAAAAAAAAGAGATCAAAAGTCCCACAGTTTGTAAGAAGCAGTCAGGACTGAAACCAAGTCTTCTGGTTTCAAGCCACTAACAATCTTTTCAGGATGCTAAGCTCACTCCATTCATAGGATCATAAATCTAGGGCTGGAAAGGACATCAGAGCCATGAATCCAACCCTTTTGTTTTACAGATGGAAACTGAGGCTCAGACATGCCTAAGTCACACATCAGAGGCGGGATTTGAACCCCTAATCTCAGAACCAATGTTCTTTCTACTATAGCATGTTGTCTCCCTTATTCTTTCTTTCATTCATTCAACCTTAATTGAATGTCTATTCTGTAAAAGTCACTGTGCACAAAAGAAAACCAGATCAATTTCTACACTGAAATATGGTGCCCAAAGAAAGTGCAAAACACTTGATCAGTGATGTCAAGCTCAACTAGAAATGGAAGTCACTAAACTAAATATAAGGATGTCAGTGGGCACATACTGACTTAGGAAAACATATATTAACATTATTTATGTTCTAATGTATTTTTACTTAATTGGTTAAATATTTCCCAATTACATTTTAATCTGTTTCTGGCCACACTCAGGAGTGTTGTGGGCCACATGTGGCCTGCAGCTCCATGTTTAACACCTCTGAACTAGGTGGGTGTGGAGTGTCATCCCACATTAGGATAAGTACAGGAAGGGCAGTCAGGAGACCTAGATTCTGGCCTCAGTCCTGCCATTAACTATCTGTGTGATTCTGGGCAAGATGTCCTGCTCTGAGCCTTAGTGTGTTTTATCTACAAAAATAGGGGGTTGGGTGAAATGATCTCTAAAGTCCCATCTATGCTTTACTTTCTGTAATAGATCACCTGGGAGAGGGGGTCAAACAGTCCCTTGAAGTATGATGCATCCTACATTAAGCAAATTGAGAAGGTGTGAAGCCATTCCATAGCAAAGCCCACCCAAGCTCTCTCACCCACCTGAAAAGAATCCCCCAAAGGCAGGAAGTTCCACACTGTCCCCAGCTGGAAAGACCCCAAACCTACAGCACAGCCCCCACTTCCTGCAAACACACAGTAGCAAGGGGGTGGGATGGGCTACCCAAAGTTCCCCAAAACAGTTTCTTCAAAGGGAAACTATAAACGTTTGTTGAATGATTCTGCCAGGTCAGCATCTGCGTCCAAGTCACACGGGAGAGATAAAGGGCCCCGATGAATTCCTAGCTCCTGACCTATAGCCCAGTTCTCCCCTCTCCCCCACCCTCTACTCAGAGAACCCAAGCATGCTAGGCTGCTGGCTAATCTACCACCAGTGTCCTCTGGGGCATTCTTGTCGTAGAAGCCACTCAGCCTGCAGAGGTTAGCCCGGGGAGGCAGCGCCCTGGAAGCAGCCCCAGTGGAGGGCTCAGAGCCTAATGCGTGTGCTGGCATCTCAAACACATGAACTTTGGCTCCAGAGCTCTGCTTATTTTCAACTCCCCTCCCCTTCCCTCTCAGCTGCCCCTGCCGGGAACCAGCCTTCAACCTCTGGCATTTGGGGGAGAGTTAGCATGACAGAGAGCTCTCTCACTGGCCTCGGCAGTGGGGTGGAGGGAGGAGGAATCAGAGAAGGGTCTTTTCTAACATCGGGGAAGAGGCCTGGGGCTTGTAACATGTCTGCACTGCTCTGGCTTACACGGTATTTCTGTGGGGGCCACTTCCTTCAGTGAGACAGTACAGCAGAGAAAACAGAATGTTGGACTTGAAGTCAGGAACACGTGAGTTCAAATCTCCCCACAGACACTTAATACCTTAGGGATCCTGGTCTCTCTAATTCCCTGGGCCTCAGTGTTCTCATCTGCAAAACAAGGGAGTTTGGCTTGATGATCGCTACAGCAGTTTCTCTTGGCTCCAAAATCTATGATATGATGATGCAAGGAACAGCCCCCACCCTGTAGTCAAAGCTTCAACTGGCTGGGAGCTGTAGGACCCTCATAGCAACTTCCAATTTAAAGTCGAAAGGGTGGCCAAGCCACCTTTTTTTTTTTTAACTGATGAGGAAATTGAGGCACTGAGAGGTTCAACAACCTGTCCCAGGTCATCCAGATAGAAAGTGGCACAGCTGGGATTTGAACCCAGTCACTCCCCTCCATATTCAGCATTCTCCATGACACAAAGCCACACAAATACTGGAATTAAGTGCCTGGAGACCCAAAGAGGGACGCAGTCCGATGTCCTTTGAGTTCAGGAACTAAAGGAAGCCAGGCAGTATGTAAGCTAAGAGGAAATCAGGCAACAGGAATAAAGAAACCAGGCATTCGACTTAGAGAAGAAAAAAAAAAACACCTGATAGGTAGCCAGTGCCTGTCACAGAGGAGGTGCTTAAAAATTAAAATCGACTGACCAACATGTGCCAGGCAGCATACTATAGCAGAAAGAACAATGGAGTCGGGAGATCTGGCCTTTCACTCTCTTCTGTCACTAATAATAACAACAATGATGATGATTCCTCACACGCCTTACAAAAATTCCACACACCTTACAAAGTGTTTTCTTCATCCACAACACCCCACCTCCTGTCTCCATGCCTTTGAAGTGGCTGTTCCCCATATCTGGAGTGCCCTCCCTCCTAATCATTGCCTCTTAGAATTCCTAGTTCTTCAAGGCTCAGCTCAAGTGACACCTTACGTATGAGGGCTTTTAGGACGTCCCCAGATGCTAGTGCCCTCCTCCCATTCCTAAATTACTTTGTGTAATTGTGTGTGTGTGTGTGTGTGTGTGTGTGTGTATACATACCCCCCACCTAGACAGATAGAAAGACAGATAGATGAATAGATAGATAGACAGATAGATAGATAGATAGACAGACAGACAGACAGACAGACAGACAGACAGACAGACAGACAGACAGACAGATAGATAGATAGATAGATAGATAGATAGATAGATAGATAGATGGATGGATGGATGGATGGATGGATGGATGGATGAATAGAGATAGATGAATATATAGATAGATGGATGGATGGATAGACAGACAGATAGATAGAGGGATAGATGGAAGGATGGATAGACAGAGGGATGGATGAATGGATGGATGGATAGACAGACAGACAGACAGACAGACAGACAGACAGACAGACAGACAGACAGACAGATAGATAGATAGATAGATAGATAGATAGATAGATAGATAGATGATAGACAGATACATGGATAGATGGATGGATGGATGGATGGATGGATGGATGATGGATGGATGAATAGACAGAGATAGATAGATAGATAGATAGATAGATAGATAGATAGATAGATAGATAGACAGATGAATATATAGATGGAGAGACGGATGTGTGGATAGATAGAAAGATGAATAGATAGATGGATAGATGGGTAGGTGTGTGGTAGATAGAAAGAGAGAAACAAATAAAGAGGAGGGAAGAAGGGGAAAAGGAAAAAAGGGAGGGAGGACAGAAGAGACAGAGAGAGACAGAGACAGAGAGACAGAGAGATGTCTCTACCAACGTTTCAAGAACTTAAGCTGTTTAAGGACCAAGACAGTTTCGCATTTGTTTGTGCGGGTAGCATGATGCTTGGTACGCAGCAGTCACTTAACTCCTTGATGACTGATTGATATCTCACAGCAACCTTGAGAAGCAAGTGATGCAAATGTTCTTCTTCTCATTTTGCAGATGAGGAAAATCAAGTCGAGGAATGGAAATGGTTTACCCGGAGCTGCATGGTGAGTTAGTGTGCAATCCAGAATTCAAACCCAGATCTCCAAGACTAGTGCTCCTTCTACAATCCCCAGCTGTGCCCCAGCCAAATGACTTCTCTGTTCAGTATCCTATTCTGTAAAATAAGGCTGAGCTAGTCAGGGGTTCTTGATCTAGAATCTGTTAACTTGTTTGTTCTTTTTACTATTTTAGTAACTGTATTTCAATGAAATTGATTTCCTTTGCAATTCTATGTATTTTACTTTATAAACTGAAAAACTATTATTCTGAGAAGGGGTCCATAGGCTTCACCAGACTGCCAAGCAAACAGTTCCATGACACAAAACAGGTTAAGAACCCTTGGCCAGGTGATCTCTAAAGGTCTCTTCTATCGGTAAAAATTACCTGAAATGAACTCAGCAGTGGGCCCCAAAGAAACCAGGTCACGGGCCTAGAGGATATTGAATGAATTCACCTCTGCCCTGGGTCTCATGCTTAGCTTTTCCTGGGCCCATGAGGGTATCTGCTGCAAGCCTATCTTCTCTGTTCCTTCTCTGAGACAAGTGAGGGTCAGGAAGCTAGGGCAGGAGGCCTGGGCAAAGCAATCTGAATGGGCAGTGCACACTCAGCAGACTGCGAAGAATGCTGGTGGGAGCTGGTGAGTGGGCGTTTGCCTTTTTGTCTCTGCCTCCTATGGGAACAACAGCGGTGTCACACAAGCAGGGCTAGGGACCGGACCCAAGGTGTCAATGGAGCCTGTGCCTGCCTGCTTGGCAGAGCTTCTTGGCAGGGGTTCCTTGTGCCAGTGTAAAACCTCACTGCCCCGGCATCTTGCAGGGGTGGGGGAAGGGAACTGAGATCCCAACCACTCAAAACCCCATCTGAAGATAGAGCTGTTGTCAAGTGCTGGGACTGAAGCACTGGGATCGGAAACCCTCACACAGTATCACATAGCTGGAAACTCACCACCCAGAAATCCCACTCTTACCTTCAAAGAACTCAGTTACCACCTTCTCCTCATCTTCCTCTGAGGGAGGAAGAAAGAAGGAGAGAGGATGGGGGAGAGAAGCAGGTGGAGGGGAAAAGAAGAGAAGAAAGAGAGATACATATTAATATAGTTAGCAACTGCATCATAACAGTGACAGAGGAGGGAATTTAGCCAGAAAAACAGAAAAGGAAGGCTAGAACTGTGTTGGAGCTGTGTTCTCCACCAACATTAGGGTTCCTCCATATATCCCTAGTCAGTCCCCACAGGAAGAAGGCTGCATCCTTCCTCTGATACCAACCCCTCTCCAGCCTCCCAGTGGGACTCTGAGTTGACACTCTCCCAATGTGGTTGGATTTGGTATGTGAGCAAAGTCACAGGGCTTTCCCCATTCAGCTGCTGAATTTTGTTGGTAAAACGTCATTATATAGCCATGGTACACAGGAGCATACCCATGATGTAAGTCTACACATGTCCCAAAGGCATGCAGCTACCACCATCCCTATCGGGCTGGGTAGTTCTTCCTAAGACCAAAGGAGAAAAATAAATAGCCCATCCAAAACCTAGAAACAGAAAACAGAGTTTGGGGAGTGACTTTCTGGACAAAACCTATATAGCACATCTGTTTGCCAGAGTGTAGGGCCCCAAGGCTCTATGATGCTGGACTCCCTCCCCAGGTGGTGGGAAAGAGTTTTAGAAGGTGATGGGAAAATTTTTAAGAACAAATTGTGAGAGCAAAGTCTGTTTAGAAGAGAAAATGCCCTCCCTCTCTCCTTCTTGGAGGGGGAGAGTCCCTTTCGGGTGGGAATCCCAAAACGAATTACTCTGGGATTTATACTTCAACATATATGATTCTATAAAGCCAGGGACATAGGCTAAACTAGGGTTTCCTCCCTCCAGGGACTCTTCTTCATTGCTGAAGGACAAGATGTTTGATCCAAGCCAGAAACAGACCAGGGAATATCTTAACTGTCATGCCTCTCTTCTTCCCCAGACCACCATCCCTCAGAGGGAAGGGGAAAGTCCAGACAGAGGATCAGCCCAGGAAGGAGCAAAGGCATATGGAAAAATGAGGAAACGTGCCCAACACCCTACAGAAAAGGGGAAAGACTTAGAGGATGATGGAGTTAATCAACAGCAGGTCATCTATTGGATTAAGCTCCTTGGGCTGTCCCCCCTTGGAAGGGGTGGGATAAGAATGTGGGAGTGCCCACAGTTCTCTGCAGGAGTCAGACCAAGCCAAGAGGGCTGTTCTAGGCTCTGCATAATATGAGAGACATTGACAAAGCTAAATTGTGTCTTTGTGAGGGTGCCCAGAATTGTGGAAATCATACCAGGAAAAGTTTGAGAAATAGGGGATGTTTGGCCTGGACAAAAAAAAAATTAAGAGAAAAGACCCATCTTTAAATATTTGGAGGTTGTCCTGTGGAATAGGGATTTACTGTGTTCTGCCAAATCGCGGCGGGAAAGGGAGGGGAATGGTATATGTAATAGGGAAGTAAATGTGAGCTTGACTGAAGAAAGGATCATTGAATGAAAGCCACCTAGTGTTCCTGACACTGTCAGTGTTCAAGTAGAGATCTATCATACCAGGGACGTTAGGAAAGGGACTGTAGAATAAGGTCAGGGTTGAGCTGTGTGACTTCTAAAATGCCTTTCAACCCTAAAATCCTAGGATTCTATGAACGATGATCATTAGTCAGGACGCACATATACTTTGGTGTTCATCCTAAACCCCCAGGGAGCATAAATGTCAGAAGACCTGGCATGTGGGAACCCTAGATTCTCCCCTTCTAGACCAGGAGTGCTTAACTTTGGGTCTAGGAGCTTGCTTTTTTAATATATTTATTTAGATAACTGGTTTCCTTTGTAATCCTATGTATTTTGTTTTATGCATTTAAAAACATGCTTCTGAGAAGAGGTCCACGATGGCTTCACCAGACCACCATCACACAAAACAAAGTGCTGCTGCAGACATTCTCAGGTTGGTTCCTAAGGTCCCAACCACCCATACCAAACCACCTTGACCTCAGGTGCTCAGACATAGTTTCTCCCAATCTTGTCTATGTCCGTAGCTACCACTGGGCTCCCCACCACACACCATAGCCCATGGCACTCAGCCTCACTCACCTCCTGTGGGGTGGAGCAGAATGTCTGCTGGATTGTGGGGTTTCAGTCCTAGGGCAGACAGGGGCGTCTTGGCAAGCCCTGGAGGAGAGCGCACTGTACCAAAGGGAAAGAGATAAGAAGTTAGAATGGGGTGGGGATTGGAGATTCAGTGGGGAAAAACGGAATGAGTCCAGATCGTGGCTTTGGAGACTGCACAGATGGATGGACTTTGGAGGGGGGGTACATCTAACTGCTCCTGATATCAGCCTCCCCTGGGGAATTACAGCACCCAGCAGACAGGTTATCCCCCTCCTACCGGGTCCTGTTTTGTCTCTCTGTTTGCCTCTGCTCCTGCTACTCTGTCTCTCCATCACTGTCTGTCTTGGTATAGTAGAAAAAGCAGACTGGGGATCAAACAGGCCAAGGTTCTAATCCCAGCTCTGCTCCTTTCTAGCTGTGCAACCTTGAAAGAATCACTCAACTTCCCTGTTTCCTTATTTTTCAATGACTACAACACCACCTGAACTGCCTTCCTCACAGGCTGGACAGGAGGAGTACGTAGCATAACGTATATGAAAACCCCCAGTAAACTGTAAGAGAAGATGTAATTATGACGTCCATAGGGCCACTCTCTTCCAGGCACTTATGCTAATGCTCCAGCCAAAATGGACTGTTCCCTGTACACATCCGATCTCCATACCTTTTCTCAAGCCAGCCCTTAGCCTAAAATGGCCTCTACCACTCTCTGCCTTTTGAATTCCTACCCAGCCTTTAAACCTCAGCTCATATGCCACCTCTTCCAGGTAGACTTCCCTGATTTCTCTCCTCCCTCACCCCCTTTTAGTAATGACCTCCCACTCCTGGACTTCATTCACTTCATCTCATATGCACTTCTCAGATTCTAATTTTTACCTTAGATATATGTGTACTTCTCTCTACCAGACTGTAACTTCCATGAAGCCGAAGTCCACATCCTCTAAATTCTGTATTTCTCCCATTACCTAACACACTCCTCTAAACAACTCCAGGGGTTGTTTAGTAAATGTTCACTGAATGCAATCCCAGTCTTCTCCCTTTATTTCTGCATTTTACTCACTGTAGCGCTTCATGCCTCTCCTCACGAAAGGGTCTGGGCAGTAACCCCATAGAGGAGTGCAAGAGAAAGGAAGATGAGGAAAAACACTCTTCTGGTGGTATCTGAGGAGCTGGACAGGACAGAGCCAGACTATGGACAAGGGAGCACCAAAGGAATCACCTCATTTCTCAAATCTCAGGCCTGGCTTTCTTGATACAGAGTATCCCAAAAATCTTAGTGCAATTTTAAGTGTTAAGAACTGCAAAAAATATCACTGCTACAAGCTTATAAAAACATCACTTGAAAGCTCAGTTATATAAATTTATCTTACACTTATTTGGTTTTGTAAATTCTGAATAATAGTTTTCTTTCTTTCTAATTTTGAAAAGATGGGAGTACCCTGTCATTATGCATGGTATGTATGACAATTTCTGGAGGAAATTTTCTCAGACTGGGTGGATCTAGTAGAGGAGGTCGCCTTGCTTAACCACTGCAGGCAGTCATGTTCTGTCTCCCACCGTTTTTTTTTAATGGGGGGGTGACATCAAAACTGTCATCTTTGCATTAAAACCTCATTCTTTGGATGATCTAAAGGCTAGGGTTACCTTTTAGTGACTGAGCAGCAGCTGATGAAAGTTTTCACAAATTTTAGAAATGAACTAGGGCCATGCATAGCACAGCAGGGAGCTAGGTGGCTCAGTGCATAGAGCACTAGGCCTGGAGTCAGGAAGACCCAAGTTCAAATCTGGCCTCAGACACTTACTAGCTGTGTGACTCTGGGCAAGTCACTTAACCTCTGTTTGCCTTAATCCACTGCAGAAAGAAATGAGAAACCTCTCCAGTATCTTTGCCAAGCAAACTTCATGGACAGCATTGATGTGCTATGGTCTAGGGGGTCATGAACAGTTGGACCTGACTGAACAATATGTGTAGTACAATATGGTAGTTATGCTGAATTTTAATAAGAGCCATATCAATATCTTAAAGGGGCACCTAAGTGGCACATTGGATAGTGGAGTCAAGAGGACATGAGTTCAAAATTGGCCTCAGACCAGACACTTGCTGCTTACTAGCTGTGTGACCCTGGGCAAGTCACTTAACCCCAACTGCCTCAAAAAACCTTCATCTCAGACCTAAGCCGACATTCAGCTTAGAGGTTTCGTGTAACACTCAAGGTCAAGAAAGGCTTTTTAGCTTTGGCCTCAGCCAAAACTGTGGCTAGAGTCTAAGCGAATTTGAAAGGTGGTTATTACAGGTAGTCCTGGGAAGGTTTCTGAAGTCAGGGTGGCCATATTTCCCAGCACACCTCTGAGGGAAGGTTAAAAAAAAATGAGCTTTGTTCCTCCCACCAGGGTTATCAAGAGCATGGCAAAGCTGCAGTGACCTAAAGACACAGGTACTGAGGACAATTAACTGCATTAAGCAGATATCAGTACCCCGACAGGCCTTGGAGCTTTATCTCTCCCCACTCTCCAACTCTTCTTAAGAGATCTGGATGATTCTGTCTACCTTGGTACTTCTCCACACCCCCCACTGCCACCCCCAAAGCAGGAAACAATAGGAAAAGTCCAACTTTTCAAAGCAGAAAGTATGAGTAATATGTGGAGTTACACATACGTACACATACATACACATGCGGGTAATATGCAATTATATATAATAAACCCATTAGATAGGTAACATGGCATATTCAATATACATATTTTGCATGTAACATATAATAATGACACACATGTGCAAATGAGGAATGGTGGCATGATATGAATCCAGGCACACAACTAACCACACACACACACACACACACACACACACACACACACACACACACACATCTCTCTCTTGTCCTCACTCACTGTCCTCAGGTGCCTTAGAGACTGATAACAGTCAAAGGGATAGATGAAAATAGATATACACCCACTGCCACACACATACGCACATGCACACGCACACACTGTCTACCCACACCGCTGGTAGGAAGCACACACACCATCCATGTGTGGTGCAAATGGTATAAAATAGCTGATGTATACTTCACAGGAGCAGGGGAATGAATACGGAGGGAGATGGACAAATGAGAATGGGGGGGTGGTAACTGTTTCATTCAATGGAACTGGCTGATGTGGTGCACATATGCATGCATGTTGGTGTATGATTGTGTAGGTGTGTGCATGCATGTAGGCGTGAGAAAGGGAGAGCTGGGGAAAGATCTTGGCCTGGCCCTCTCTTTCCTCCTTCTCTTCACTGACCTCTGGCTCCCTTAGTCTGCATTCTCCAACAACCCAGCCCTTTCTCCCAGGGCGGAAGAGCGGGAGTGGGGGAGGCCCAAGACAGGCAAGCCTTTTGCTTCCCCAAAGGAAAATTCCCCACATTTCTCCGCCTTCATTATCCTCTCCTCAACTTTTTGCATTTTAAAAAATTTCTGACTTATACATTCTCCTCTTTGGATCACCCACGGTTATCCCTTGGGTGTGGAGGGAAATGGTGGGGGATGGGGAGGAGGAATACAAGAGTAGAACTCAGCTGCAGTTCCATCTCTTTCAACCACCCTGACGCTCTATGCCAGGCAGGGACTGGAAGGACATGTGTGGGTGAGGGGAGCAGTTCCTTCAAGATGGCCTAAGACCTAAGACATTCACGTTCCTGAATGGACCAAAAGGCTGCTTCTAGTATTGTGAGTCAGGATTCAAAGCATTACTGTGCTGAGGGACTGACTGCAGATGACCACCCACCCATGGCATTTACGCCAACAAGTGGGCTCATTACCACTAGCAGAACCGCAACCATGCCCAACCCCTACCCCTAGCCCCATGCCTCCTGGAAGCCCACTCTGATAATGATCACCTCACTCCTCTCCTCATCTTCCCAACATTAACCCCAACTCTCACACACGTCCTGCTGGTCCCTTTAACACCCCCCTCGTCAAGCCTGAGGCAGGTGGGTGGCCAGTAACTTGGCAGGTAACTGCAAGTTACAAAGAAAGCTGATCCCAATTTTCAGTTCAAGACCCTCCAAAGCTTTATTTGTTCTCCTACATCCTGCCTAGCTTCTGCCTCTAGAAAGAAGGAAGTTTAACTTCTCCCAGCAGCCTTGATGAGAAAGTCCCAGAGTCTCAATCTCAGTGTTAAAGAGGGGTGATTTTAGGGAATAGAGACATTCCTCCTATGTCTGACTTGATTACAGCACAAAGCACAGAAGCTCTAACAGGGATCTCAATGTACTCTGGAAGTTTGGTCTAATGATATACCGATGAGAGAAGATTTTAAAGGAATTGGGGTAAAATAAAAGCTAAGCTCTCTTGCCCAGTGGTGGAACGATGGATGCGAGGCTTTGCCAGCTGAAGAAATCTATGCCTGTCCTTTCTGCTACGGAAGAAGCCAGCTGACCAATAGTATGCTGGATAGGACTTTGGTTTCCGAATCAGAGGACCTAGATCTGAACTGAATGCTGGGGTTCTGTTACTTGTTATGTGTATGACCTTGGAAAAGCTGCTTCATTTCTCTGGCCTCAGTTTATCAGATGGGATTTGGAGTCATGAGAGAACCTGGCTTGGATCTTGGATCCTCCAACACGTTGTAAGTGTATGACAACCATGACCTCTGTAGCCTCAGTTTCCTCCTCCATAAAATGGCAGAGGTAGATGAAGATCGAGTGAGATGATGCATGGACAATGCTCTGTCGACCTCAACGTGCTGCATAAAATTCAGCTGTTATTATATGCACCTCTTTGGGTCTCATTATCTTTATCTGCTTAATGAGAAGGATTAGATTACATGCTCTCTGAGGCACCTTTCAGCTCTAAAAACTCAAAAGCAGAAGGGAGCAGGTCCCAGAAACCCTGATATGGAGCCCACAATGGCTTCTAAGGCCCAGGACAAATAAGGAACAAAGGTGAGGAGAGAGAAAATTATGGAGACTCCAAAACAAACACCAGGCTGCAGACGAGAGAAAGCCCTAAGTCCTGAGGTTTTGGTCCAGTCAAGGAGGGAAAAAAATCTTCCTATCTTTTGCCTTCCCTCTTTTTTTCACTCACCTAGTCAATAAACTCCAGTGGCAACTTAGCACCTCCAGGACCAAAATAATCATATATATACATACATACATATATACATATATATATATATATATACACATACATATATTTACATATATATGATCAAATACAATATACATATATAAATGTAATATAATATATATAATATAAATATAAGATCAAACATAAAATCAAAATATAAAATCCTCTGTTTGCCATTCAAAGCCCTCCCATGCACACACACACACACACACACACACACACACACCCCTTTCCAGTCCTCTTACGCTTCCCCTGTGTACTGTGACTTTGGCCTCCCAGCCATTCCTCGAATACACTCCGTCTCTCAACTCCAAGCATTTTCACTGGCTGTCCACAATGCATGGGATGTTCTCCTTCCTCATTTCTTCCTCCTCCCAGCTTCCCTGGCTTCCTTCAAGTCCCAGCTAAAACCTCACCTTCTACAAGAAAGCCCTTCTAATTCCCCTTAATGCCAGTGCCTTCCATTTCTTGATTATCTCCTCCACTCCACCCCGTCTATGGCATGGTTTTATATAATTGTTTGCATGCTGTTTCCCCCATTGGACTGTGAGCTCATTGAGAGAAGGTGATTTTTTTTCCTTTTCTTTGTATCCTCAGAGTTTAGCACAGTGCCTAGCACACAATAGGCACTTAATAAATATTTATTTACTGACTGATGGACCAAGAGAGCTAGAAATATCACAAAATAAGGAAACTAATGATTCCAAAACTTGGGTCACCTGGAGTTTGCTATGTTCTGGCCTGGTGTGGCTACAGCAGTCATGATGTGATTATCCAAAATTTGAGAGTTTTGGACTAGGGTGGAGGCATGGAGGCTGAGAAATGATGAGAATGGAAAAGGGTCAGAAGCAAGGGTGGAGGGAAGGGAGCGATGGGGATGAGAAAGATGGTTGGCTTTAAAGTTGGACTTGAGACTGACCCCCGCCCAGCCTCACCAGACTCAGCCCACATCATCAACCAATTCCTTCCACCTCCCAGAGCCAGAACACTTACATGGGCTAAGGTTGACATAAGGGTTTTGAGGCGACACAGGGAAGTCAGGGGTTGGGGGAGAGTTCTCACCACCGCTGGGAGGTGGACTGGCCGGAGCGGCCCCCTCCATTTCTTCAAACGCCTCCTTGTAACTGTGCAGATGGGGCTACAGGAACAGAAACAGAGCACACAAGAGAAAATGGAAAACATCAGTTATGGCGTCCCTGGCAACAAGGAGCTAAACTCTTCAGAGAGCCAGACGGGTGAAAAATCCCCAAGCTTATCTCCCATTGGGAAGCAGACAAAGATGAACTAAATCTGTCCACTCACCCAGTCCAGGATTACAAGAATTACTCATAATGGGGCAAGTAGGCAAGAGGCTTATTTGCAAGGCCATTGTCAAGCCATAGCCAGAAGTCCAAGGCATCTGTCTAAAGATAATTCAGAACAGGAAAGCTGCCCGTGTGAGTGGGCTGACCTAGGTGGTGTCCCTGCCTTGGAGCAGGGAAAAGGACGAGGTGACCCCAGGTCCTTTACATGACACCATTGGTCCTTTTGGCTCCAACTGAAGAACTATCTCCAGGGAGCAAGACAGTAACTCTTTCTTCTTGGACCAGGCAAATGGACTTGGGCAATGGAAATATAAAAAGTCTCTTTGGGAGAACCAAGAAGGTAGGAATTTGTGAGAAAGAAAGACACTTGGGACACTCAAAACAGGGCTCAGATTTGTCAGATCCCTACTATTAGCTACACCAGGGTAACTTGATGGCAATATGTCATGCTTAACCGTGATTAGGAAATAGAAAATTTGCAAAGACAGGGAAGCACTTGGTCTTTAAGCTGGAATGTGAAAAATCAATCCCCATTTGCCTTTAGGAACAATGTTACCCAGCTTATTTCTACTGAGTCCCCAGCACAGCGGTCCCATTTGTACACCCTAGCCAGAGGAATATAACTACTCAACTCTCACCTCTTTGGGCCGTCCTCCTGGATTGAGGGCAATGGTGAGGGCCAGCTCTGGGGAAACACACTGGACTGGTGACCGCACTCCAGGACTCCGAGGGGAAGTGGGCTCTGGAGAATGGTTCTCATATTGCCCATCACTGGCTGCTCGTCTCCGGAGTGGGGGAGGAGGCTCTGTTGTCTGCTTTTCTCGAGCCTGTACCCCTGGAAGTAATGGCAGGAGTCAGGGGAGATAGGCACACATTGGGGGGGGGGGCTAGTCTCTCCAAAAAAGATAGCACACTGTTAGAGAGCTTGTGGGTCAGACTCCACAGAGAACTCATTGCATCTAAGGTCAGTGGTCTGAACAGGATGAGGGCTTATGTTCTCTGCACCACCCCCCTTCTCTTCAATTCCCCCACACTCATGGCCCTCTTTGCCAGACTGGGCAATCTATTCTGAGTGAGAACAGACCTCCACCCAGTGATCTCTGAGCATGGACTGAGCTTTGGCCAAGAGCATAACAGGGCTGATTCTTGAAACAGATGTCAACCCTTTCCAACCCCTGGAAGCAGATGGCCACTGCTTCCTTTCATAGAAGGGAGGAAAGGCAATAGGAAGGGGGAGGCAGTTACCACGACAACAGCATCAACTAACATGCAACATCTGGCCCCAGGGAAAAACTCTTGGAAAGAGGGAAGAATGCAATATCATGTATTCTGATCTCTAAGGGGGCCCTAGACAAACAAGAGGGGTTACTACCCCCTCACACCCACCAGGCCTCAGGATGCATTGGGGGCTCTCAAGGGGCCCTCAAATTTATCCAAGGTTACCCTAAAACTTCTAGCAAATCTCCACATGGCCCCTGTCTTTCTCGCTTTCAAATCTGTCCCCAACAGTCTCTACTAGCATGAAGTTTTCACAGAGCAGCCCCACCCCAAAGACACGCCTGCTTTGTGGATGGCAGGGTTAGCGATCTGGATGTGACAACATGGGAAGGGAGCCCTGAAATAATTCTCCTCTGTTTTCCATCTGCTTGTCTCCATTTCCCTTCCCAACAAGCAGGACTCCCCAGGGCTACCAAACTGCTCTCCTTCCCATTCCCCTGCCCTGGGACTAGCCTGTGGCAAGGAATCCATTGCTTCATTGAGCTGACTCAAAGAATCCGAGGAAACATTCTTCTTGGGGGGCCATCAGGGCATATTCAAAGAGCACCTAACCCGTTCCCCTGTTTCCAGGAAAGAGGGTCCCTCTCCGGGACCAGGATTATTCCTAAGTATCATTAAACCATCTCTCCGGGACCAGGATTATTCCTAAGTATCATTAAACCATCTCTCTGCTCTTTGTAGTCAGAAAAGGGGAAACAAAAGCATAAGGAAATAACATAACCTGCCTGAAGTCACCCAGAAAATCAAAGCCACAAAGGAAATGAAATGCCAGCGTCCTGAGTCCCAGGCTTTAGTCAGTAGACCTCACCGGCTTCATCATAAGAGCTACTGTCCCACGACCTCTCTCTGTGTCTGTCTGTGTCTCTGACACACACACACACACACACACACACACACACACACACACACACACTCATCACACATTGATGCTTTCAGGAATGTGCTAAGGAGCACGGGCAGAGGACATGCAGGCAGAATTACCTTCTGCACCATCAGCTACGTGATTTATATATCCCACCAGATGCCAGATGTGAAGGCTGCCATCAGAAGCAAGCTGGAAAACCTCTCCTCCCAGCTTGTTGTGCACAGTAGAGACTGCCAGGTGCCAGGTTTGGATGAAAGCACGTGCGCATGCACACACATGGTCTCTTCCACACAGAGGCTGGGTGGACACAGAGGGCAAACCAGCAGGGCCTGAGGACATGGCCTATTTCAATGCATTGTGCCATTAAATAAAGAACATGCAAATGCATGACATGCTGAGTCCCCATCTTGGGTATGTTTAGTAGCTGGGCGGCAGCACTGCTCTCTGAAGGGTCAGAGCAAAGAGCGCAGAACAGGGAAGCAGGTGACCCACATTATGGTCTTGGCTCCTCTACTGCTTTCTAGCTGTGTGACCTTGGGCAAGTCACTTAATTTCTCTTTCTACTTTCTTTATCAGTAAACATGATACTAATAGGACCTGAAGTATCCACTCTCAGTGTGCTTATGAGGATCAAATGAGATCATAGATATAACAGCACATGGAACACTACACCGTTCTATAAAAAAAAAAAATTTAAATAGGGACAGTTAGGTAGTGTGGTGGCTATAGCACTGGGCTTGGAACTAGGAAAACTCATCTTCCTGAGCTCAAATCTGGTCTCAGACACTTACTAGCTGTGTGACTCTGGGCAGGTTACTTAAAATCTTAAAAATAACCCTCTTCACTGATCCCAAACTTTTCATGAAGGTAAAACCAATCTTTTCATCACTGACATTTTGCCAGTCTTGCTATACATCCCTTCCCCCAAACAGCTAAAGAGGAATGAATATATCACAGAAGTCAATGCCCAAGTGCGTGGTGGGCAAGCAGGCCAGAACGCATAACCCGGGAGTAACTGCGATGATATATGGGAGCAGAGAACGTCCTGGAGAAATTGCATGATGATAAGGAGAGATGAGCCGGTCACGTGGCTAAGAAGGGATAACAGGTGGATAGGTAAGGTGCTCCCCTGGTGCCCTCCTGAGTCAGGAGAAAGCAAGGAAGAACCCCAGGATGTTGGATGGACCAACCAACATGGCAAACCTTTAGGAGGGCATGGACAACTGGCAGCCACGGATGAGCCGCTATGTGCATCACCAAGAGAGGACTCCTGAATCAATGAGACTGAAGATCCACTTGTATATGAAAGAACCAGTGTAAGAGTTCTTTCTTTTCTTTTTTATTAACTGGACCTATGACTAGTGAGGAAACCCCTTAACCAATGTCGTGCTGCAACTATCCTGAGACATAGTCCCAGACTTGTCCGGGGTATTGGGACCTGCCCAAGACTGTATCGTCAGTATACATCAGAGGCAGGATTTGAACCCAGGTCTTGCTGACTCTGAGGCCAGTTCTCCATCTACTATAACATATTGCCTCTGCTTATTTCTTGTTGTTGGAGATTCAAATGTCTTCCATGTGGCTTGCAGTGTGGCTTGCAGTGTTAAATACCAACAGAGAGCGGTCCTCCCCCTCCATTATTTTCATTTCCGTGGCCCTCTCTATCCTTTCCCTGCCCTGCCCCCAGTAACTCCCCAGTGGTCTAGAGCTGCCATCACCGGTTTCATTCCTGGCAGAAGCATCAGAGCGAAACAGACGCTCCCATTGATTTTCTAATAATAATTGTGACAAAGGAGACCCGATCAGGAAAGGCTAGCAGGGTCTGGAGCTAGAGTTCAAGCCCAAGGTTAAAAGAAATGCATTAGAGCCGAGCTCATTCCCCTGACTCTCTCCACCCTCCTGTGCCCCCTTTATGGCATATTTCCCTCTAGTTGTCAGCTCAGCATTTAACTCCTCTGTTTGGGGGTTGGGTATTTGCCCTCGAAAATAAGACCAAACTCAGTTTCTTGCATTTGAGTCTCTATTTAAGGCAGAAGCTGCCCCTGTGGATCTACCATGAGCATTCCCTGAGCACCTCACAAAGGGAATTCTCCCACAGTAACCATGATCACTGGGGGTGGGGGAAGAAGGCGAGACAGCATGAAGACCTTCCCAACTGCTGAAGGGGTGAGACATTAGAAATGATGATTAAGGGAGTCCAAGATACAGCTTTTCCTGGAGATCGCTGAGAATGACAGAGATAGATCCCTCCTCTTCCTCATTTCCTCACTGTTCTACCTCAGTCTTCTCAGGACAGGGGAAGGGGGCAAGATCAGGGAAGACCCTACATTCCACTCCCACGGGGCCAAATCCCTCCCCCTCCAGATCCCCACATTGCGTCAGTGGCCAGCCAGGCACATCGTGCATTCCTTGCACACAGTGTCTCTCTGTTGTCCCCCTTGGCAAGCCCAGCTCAGCTCCAGGGTGCCCAAAGAGTCATGTTCTCTCTCTCCTTTTTCTTTCTCCATAGGGAGGGGTGGAAGAAGGAGAGGGGGCAGGGGAAGCAAAGCAGATTGGAGAGAAGAGAGTCCCATTGTTCCTTGGCCAAGTGTGGAAAGACTGGGCCCATGCAGGCCATGACGGCCAAGCAGGAAACATCACACTCTCACATGGTTCCTGAGAACAAGCAATAATGCAAATAGGATTGCTTCCCCAATCCCATCGCCGTTGACCCCAAAACTCTATTTGTCTCTGTCTCTGTGTCTGTTGGCTAACACACACACACACTGAACAGGAAGCAGAAGTAAGGTTTTTAATGGGGTCACCAAGGCTCCCTCAAAGCTCAACTTCTCAGTATCCTCCCAGGATGGGGGAACAGAACCACATACCCCATGGCACATTAATGAAGACAGGGTAAAGTGGTCCAAGAATTCAGTTGCGTGAAGAGAAGGCAAATGTCCTCCTTTAAGAAAAGAATGACTGGATGTTCTATGCTAAGGAGAGAATTGGAGAAATAGGCTGGACCCACACTAGAAAATTGGTAAGAAAACTTTAAAATGTCACTTTTGTTTTTATCGCCCCTTAGAGTATTCAGGTGCTCTTGTTTAAATGATCTCCCCGAGCTTCACTATAATCCTGGACATGGTTGGGGAATAGGTAGAAAACTATCACCTCTATTTTTCAAATGAAGACACTGAGGCACAGAGTAGCCCAGTAGTTTTCCCAATTAAACAACTAGTTAGCAACAGAGTTGAGAATAGAACTCTGGTCCCCTCCATCTCAGTCTAAAGTTCTTTCCATAATTCCATGCTTACTCACCAAAGGGTGGGTGGCAGGCAGAATTTTCTTGGGAGGATGTGGGGCTCAAGAGTGAGTGCCTTAGGGAGGAAGACATTGGAAACTCCTTTTACACTCACAGAACTAGAGATGGAAGGAACCCTCAGAGGTGATCTAGTCTAACCTCATTTTACAGATGAGGAAACTGAGGTACAGAGAGCTTACGTTACTTACATAAGCTCTAGAAACTTTCAAGTAACAAAATTGACCAGACTCCCAGACTAGTACATTTCTGCAGCAGTCCCCAACTATGACAGCAGCCAATCTCTAGGACAGTGCCTTGTTTGGGTGAACAGTTCCCTTAAGGTCTCTTAGACTTTGCAAGTATGCTAGAATCACCTGAGTGACAAAGTCATTCTTTTTTTTCTTTTAAGTTA